TGCTGGGTCCATTCAGAAAGGCAGGCTATATACTGAGAGCTGTTCTGAACATGCATCATTGGGGGAGAAAAACATATTTTAGGTTAAATGAACAAAGCTTTCTAGCAAACCAGTCGACTGCTATGAGACTTAAATGCAAGGACATTTATTATACAGTATGTTTACTGTATTAGGGACGCGGGTGGCGCTGTGGGTTAAACCACAGAGCCCAGGACTTGCCGATCAGAAGGTCGGCGGTTCGAATCCCCTCAACGGGCTGAGCTCCAGTTGCTCTGTCCCTGCTCCTGCCAACCTAGCAGTTCGAAAGCACGTCAAAGTGCAAGTAGATAAATAGGTACTGCTCTGGCGGGAAGGTAAATGGCATTTCCGTGCGCTGCTCTGGTTCGCCAGAAGCGGCTTAGTCATGCTGGCCACATGACCCGGAAGCTGTCTGTGGACAAATGCCGGCTCCCTCGGCCTATAGAGTGAGATGAGCGCCACAACCCCAGAGTTGGCCACGACTGGACCCAATGGTCAGGGGTCCCTTTACCTTTACCTATGAGACTTAAAGCAGTTTGAGTAACTCGCCGCACGCTGACCTATAAAAAGTAAATATGCACATGTTTCAGAACATCACATGACCTCCAGTCACTGCCATTTTTATCGCATTGATACCCCACCTTCCTCCAAGGAACAGTTCTCCCGTTCACCATTTTATCCTGGCAACAGCCCTGAGAGGTAGGTCAGGCTGAGAGACGGTGACTGGTCACCAAACAAGCTTCATGGCCGAGCAGTGATTTGAACCCTGGTCTCCCAGGTCCTAGTAGTCCAGTCCTCTTAACCAGACCACCACACAGTTCACTGCCTGCTTTGGGTGCCCAGCAAGATAAAGGTCTAGGGCAGGGGTCTGCAACCCGCGGCTCCGGAGCCGCATGTGGCTCTTTTGCACCTTTGCCGCGGCTCCGGGGTGGATACTAGCGAGGGGAGGAGGCGCATTGTGCGCCCCAACACTCCCCACTGTAGCGGGCGCTGTACTGGCTGTGACGTCGCATGGGGGCGGTGGTGCATTAGTCACGCACCGTCCCGACATCACCTTCTCGCCCGCTGTCAGATCGGACATTAAGGTAAGAAACAATATATGCAGTGTTATATCTGTTTTAAATGTCGCAATGGTTTTGCGGCTCCCAGGTTTTTTTTCTCCGGAAACGGGTCCAAGTGGCTCTTTTTGTCTTAAAGGTTGCAGACCCCTGGTCTAGGGCGTGCTGCTGCGTGGGCTTGTGGGAGAGACTCCTCTAAGAGTTTGCTCATGTTGTAATTTCCCTCTGTGGCCTTTGTGCCCACCCACATCCATAGACACCGAAGAACTTCCTGACAGTAAGAGCTGTTTGACAGTGGAATTTGCTGCCAAGGAGTGTGGTGGAGTCTCCTTCTTTGGAGGTCTTTAAGCAGAGGCTTGACAACCATATGTCAGGAGTGCTCTGATGGTGTTTCCTGCTTGGCAGGGGGTTGGACTCGATGGCCCTTGTGGTCTATTCCAACTCTATGATTCTACTTTCAGACACATAAACATCATAGGCTGCTAAGGCGGTTGCAGGAGTCTACGGGAATTTGAAGCCACGGCCTTCTAAGGAACTGGCTGTCTGGTGGGTGGGTGGGTTGCCCCCATACCTCAGGACTAAAAAAACCTTTCAGCCCAGATATGTGGGGAGGTGTTAATTCTGGTTTTGCTGTCATTTAAAAGGGGAGCGTTTCTCCCTCCTCTGCACCCAGCCACCTCCAAGCGTTCCAGTCCTCCTGCAATGGCTGTGGTGCTCTGCTTGCCACCCACCCAACGGGTAAGATAAGGAATTCCAGGTGTTAAGTTGTGGGTGAACATATCAGACGACACAGCGATTCTTCAAACGGCTCTTCTTTATTCACAGGCCAGAATAGAACTGAACTGAAGGGTTCAGCCAGCCTGCTTATATAGAGCTCCACTACAACGCAACTGTAACCATTTTCTGTAACTATCCAATCACTGAACGTCACTTTCAATCCCTTATTTGCATATGTGGACCTGAGTGAAAACTATCTACAGTATTCCCCTGCTGGCCCAGGGTGAGAACTTCAGTACATAACACCTGGTATCAAGGTCCCACCCAAATATACAAGCAACACCTAGGAGCGGCTGTAAAGTTTCTTTCGCCAGAATCGCAACCAGTGTTAAGAAATCAGCCAGTGTGTGTGTTGCGACTGGCATAGGTCCAATTGCGACCATGTGGAAATACCTGGGTACCAGGTTGGCAACTGACCTCTCCAACTTCCTCAAGCAGCTCAGCTGAAAAGCACATTTTTTTGCTTTTATATCCCACCCTTTTCTCCAAGAAGTACATTGTTCATGCCATCCCTCAGTTAAACCCTACAACGACCCTGCGAGGTAGGTTAAGAGGCCTCCAAGGAGTCCGATGAGCTTCACGACTGAGTGGGGTTTTTGATTTTCGAGGTCCTAGTCCAACGCTCTAACCACTGCACCCCACTGCCTTCCTAGAGTCATCCTGCTATGAAGCAGCTCTATAAATTAGGTAGGCAAACAAATATGGGGAACACCAAATTTCGCTTGGAGCAGGATCTGAGATACTTTCCTCGGGAGCTTGGTTTATTCTGGATTGTTTTATTTGATCCTAGAATTGTAGAGCTGGAAGGGCCCCCACGGGTCATCTAGTCCAACCCCCAGCCATGCAGGAATGGTGTCTTAACGTGTCGTAAACCGCTTTGAGATTTTTTTCTTTAAAATACAACGCGGTATAGAAATGAAATTAATAATAATCAAACTCCATTGCAGAAAAAGGTGCCAAGACATTCTGTTGTGGTGACCATGACCCAGGTTTAAGGTGCCATTTGGTGATTAGCATATATCTGAGTTTGTAACACTGAATTGGGACACGGGTGGTGCTGTGGGTTAAACCACAGAGCCTAGGACTTGCCGATCAGAAGGTCGGCGGTTCGAATCCCCGCGACGGGGTGAGCTCCCGTTGCTCGGTCCCTGCTCCTGCCAACCTAGCAGTTCGAAAACATGTCCAAGTGCAAGTAGATAAATAGGTACCACTCCGGTGGGAAGGTAAATGGCGTTTCTGTGTGCTGCTCTGGTTCGCCAGAAGCGGCTTAGTCCTGCTGGCCACATGACCCGGAAGCTGTACACTGGCTCCCTCGGCCAATAAAGCGAGATGAGCACCGCAACCCCAGAGTCCGTCATGACTGGACCTAATGGTCAGGGGTCCCTTTACCTTTACCTTAACACTGAATTCCCAGCAGGACTGTGCTCTTAGGTGCTCGGCTGACACCTGGTTCGCCTGTGGCCTATGACTCCCAATGCCCCTCCACCCCTGACTACTTACTGGTTGTGCTTTGGGGGTGTGAGTTGTCATTCAGCAACACCTGGGGGTCTGCATGTTCCCTCTCCCTGCCTTGGAGAGATGCTTGCTCCCCACTCAAAACCCGGGGGCGTGTGGGTGCAAAATGAAAGCAGCTTGCCGCAGAAAAGATCTTCCCTTTGCACAGTGCAGAATTAACCGCCATGAACTGGGACGGTGCCCTTGGTTCATTTTATTACTGGTTTCCTATTCCACCCTTTTTCGAAGGAGCTCAAGGCCGCGTTCCTGGTTCTCTCACCTCCCCATCTTATCCTCACAACAGCCCTGCAAGAACTCTCCCGGGTTCTAGCCCAACACTCTAACCACTGCACCGCACTGCCTCACATGCCCATGTTGGCAGGGAGAGCTGGTCTCGAACCCTTCCTGCTTCCAGGATCTCCTTTGGCTTAGCAGCCGTTTGGTCCGCTCAGGACGGCGGGGGGTGGGGTGGAGTCTGCCCCCCAGGCTACCAACAAAAAACAGAATAATGGGAGATCAAGGCAAATTCCAGGAAAAGCAGCCGGAAGCTCAGTGAAGCCTGCAGCGCGCTCCAGAGTTGCACAATCTCCAGGCGCGCTCCTCTGTGCGCTCTTACTTAAAAGAGGAGCAGGCACTAGGCGCTGAAGGGCTGGGGGCTGATGGGAGTTGTAGTCCAACACATCTGGGCGGCACCACGTGGGCTGGGGCGCGCTCCTCCCTCGCCAGAGAAGCCTCGGGTCCCCAGGTGTTGATGGACTACAACTCCCATCATCCTTAGCTAGCATGACCACTTGACCGCTTGGGGAAAATGGCCAGGGATGATGGGAGTTGTAGTCCCACAACACATGGCGACCCAAAGTCCGGGAAAGGCTGGGTTAGAGTGCCGGAATGGGAGCTGGGAGAGACCAGGGTGCCAAAAGCTCACCCTGGGTGTGATCCTGGGGGGTGGCAGTCACTCTGCCCCTCTCAGCCCTAACCTACCCGGCAGGGTTGTTGTTGAGAAACAGGGAGATTCGAACGAAGTGCGCCACCTTGGGAGTTGCGCTGATGGGAGTTGTAGTCCAACACATCTGGGCGGCACCACCTGGGCTGGGCGCTAGACTAGAGCAGCCTTTCTCAGCCTCGGGTCCCCAGGTGTGGATGGACTACAACTCCCATCATCCTTAGCTAGCAGGACCACTTGGGGGAAATGGTGGGAAATTTAAATGCAACAAAGAAATAAATGTCCCGGGACAGCTACGGAGCCTGTTCCTTTGCCCAACGACGCGCCCAAGGCCAAGAGGAGCCGGAGGCGGTTGCTGGCTCTTGCGGGGTGAATGTGGCGCTGGCGAGGCCAAGATAGCAGGTTCGATCCCCGTATGGGACAGATTCATATTCCTGCATTGTACTGGGTTGGACTAGATAAATGGTTCCCAACCTTTTTTTTTTTTTTGCTATGCCCCCCCAGCACCTCTAAAATCCTGATCCCCCCCGCGTGACTAATAATAATAATAATAATAATAATTAATTTTATTTATATCCCACCCTCCCCAGCCGAAGCTGGGCTCATATATAATTCTTATTTTTCAAAAAATGAGCTTCTATTCACCTGGAGGAAGCCTAAAAAGCACATTAACTGTTAATAACTCATTCTCGAATTGCCCCCCCCTCAAAATCAAATTACCCCCCTGTGCCCCACGTTGGGAACCACGGGAGTAGAAGATCCTCAAATTGCTCCCTTCCAAATCGACGATTCTGCTAATCCGGATTACCTGCGCGAGAAACAAAGAAGGGGCGGGGTTTGGCTACGGCCCCTCCCACACAGGGAGGATCCCTTCCCTACTTAAATCCACCTCCCGCTCCCACGCGGCTTTTGGATACCTTCTTCGAGGAGATCTGCGCGCCGGCGCTGGAAGTGGGTTCGTCTTGTTGCCTTTCCCTTCCCCTGCCCCCCCCCCAAGCTCCTTTCCCCCCCATACCCCCCACCTCCCAACTTCAGGGGAGGCCACAGAGCAGCTTTACGCGCACTTTACGCGGAGACTGGAGACTGGGGAAGGGGCGCGCAATAGCAGCGGGCGCCTCGCGGTCGGTGCGCAGCGCGCAATCTTTGAAGCGCCCCGGGGTTTAAGGAGGGGTTTCCTCGTATCTCCCCTCTCTCTTCTTGTTTTAACTTTTTGTATGTCTTAAAATCATCTCCGATTGTTAGCGTAGATCTATCCAGTCATCTTTCGCAGAGGTCCTGGGGGGTCGGCTCCCCAAATTCTGCCGCCTTTCATCGCCAAGATACCCCGTTCTTTGCCAGGACACCCCAGCAAGACCCTTCTCGACCTTGTGCTCATTGCCCAAATGTGCTCCTCTTGCTGAAGCTTACTAAATCTGTTCCATTGTAAAGGCAAATGGGCACCTCCTTATATACCGTACATTAAGTGTATGTCAGTGTCTTCACTGCATATGTTTAGGTGCCGGAAGAAACATTTCTCTTCAACCGGGTATTTGGTTGATAAACTTTTGATGGCTCTGGAAATGTGTTTGTGGGAGGGGAGATAGTGGTTTGGTTTTATGGCGTATTTTGTTTGCTCGCTTTGTATTTTTCTGTTGTGAAGCACCCTGGGAACCTCAGATGAAGGGCGATATACTACTACTAGTAGTATTAGTACAGTGTACCTCGGGTTACATCCGCTTCAGGTTACAGACTCCGCTAACCCAGAAATAGTGCTTCAGGTTAAGAACTTTGCTTCAGGATGAGAACAGAAATCGTGCTCCGGCGGCAGCAGGAGGCCCCATTAGCTAAAGTGGTGCTTCAGGTTAAGAACAGTTTCAGGTTAAGAACAGACCTCCAGAACGAATTAAGTTCTTAACCTGAGGTACCACTATACTAGTACGAGATGAGCACCGCAACCCCAGAGTCTGTTATGACTGGACCTAATGGTCAGGGATCCCTTTACTTTTTAACCTCGGGTTAAGTACTTAATTCGTTCCAGAGGTCCGTTCTAAACCTGAAATTGTTCGTAACCTGAAGCACCACTTTAGCTAATGGGGCCTCCCGCTGCTGCCGCACCGCCAGAGCACGATTTCTGTTCTCATCCTGAAGCAAAGTTCTTAACCCGAGGTACTATTTCTGGGTTAGCGGAGTCTGTAACCTGAAGCGTCTGTAACCTGAAGTGTGTGTAACCCGAGGTACCACTGTACTATTATCAGTACTATTAGTACTACTATTAGTATTAATACGAAGCATCCTCCTACCCCTTCAGATTCCCCCCCTTGGCATCTGGGTAGTAAGCAGTGAATTTACTCCCCAAGGTTTGATTTGGAGCCCAGGGAGGGAGCAAAGGTCACCCAGGGAGCTTCACGGCTTAGTGGGGGATTTGAATCCGTGACTCTTCCCTGGTCAGAGTCCATTTCTCTCCTCCTCCATCTTTGAGCCATTGATTGGCTTAGCCTGGGGGTGTGTGCATTGTGGTTCTTGCGGTGCAGTGAGACTTGCACCTCGACTGCGGGCTGGAAAATGGGTTTAAGAGCAGACCTTTTTCGGAGCCCAAGCTGCTGCTTCTCCCTGTTGCCTTTTTGCTGACTCTTGAGTTTCCATTCCACACGGTTAGTCAGTGGGGCTGACTTCTGAGAACTGGAGGAAACGGGGAACTCCTCTGTGGCTAAAACTTGCCCAAGAGGCAGGGCAAGTTCATGAGTTCAAAAGCTTCTTCACTGGAAAATGGCAGGAGTCAGGAGAAATTGTGCCTCATCTGGACTGCTCTGTGGAGGCATAAGAGCGTGGATCAGGCCAGTGGCCCATCTAGGCCAGTATCCTGTTCTCACAGCAGCCACTCAGAAGCCCCAAAGGGCTGCCTGAGAGCAGGATCCGAACACAGGTTCACTTTCTGACAGTAAGAGCTGTTCGACAGTGGAGCAGCCTCCCTCGCGAGGTGGTGGGCTCTCCTTCCTTGGAGCCATTTAAGCAGAGGTTGGGTGGCCATCTGTGAGGGATGCTTTATCTGAGATTCCTGCATGGCAGGGGTTGGACTGGATGACCTTTGGAGGTCCCTTCCAACCCTACACTTCAATGATTCTCTCCTCCTGTGGTTTCCAGAAACTGTTGTTTCAGGATGCTGTGGTGGACTGGAGGAGATGGGCTGGTTGCCTGTTCAGGGTGGGGTTGAGCTCCCTCTGAAAGGTTCAGAGTTGGGGGTGGGTGGGTGCCCCTGGATCCATCTTGGCCTCTGGAGTAGTAGTGTTGTTGATGTTTAGTCGTGTCCAACTCTTCGTGACCCCCTGGACCAGAGCACGTCAGGCCCTCCTGTCTTCCACTGCCTCCCACAGTTTGGTCAAACTCATGTTTGTAGCTTCGAGAACACTGTCCAACCATCTCGTCCTCTGCCGTCCCCTTCTCCTTGTGCCCTCCATCTTTCCCAACATCAGGGTCTTTTCCAGGGAGTCTTCTCTTCTCCTGAGGTGGCCAAAGTCTTGGAGCCTCAGCTTCAGGATCTGTCCTTCCAGTGAGCACTCAGGGCTGATTTCCTTCAGAATGGAGAGGTCTGATCTTCTTGCAGTCCATGGGACACTCAAGAGTCTCCTCCAGCACCATAATTAGTAGTAATAATAATAATAATTTATTTATACCCCAGCCACTCTGGGCAGCTTCCAACAATATATTAAAAATGCAATAAAACATCAAACATTAAAAACTTCCCTAAATAGGGCTGCCTTCAGATGTCTTCTAAAGGTCATGTAGGTTTTATTTTATTTGTTTTTTTATTTATTTGTTTTTTCCCTTTAATTTTTTTGGGGCCCCCCAAGAGAGTGGGGCCCTAAGCTATAGCTTGTTTAGCTTATACCTAAATCTGGCACTGGCTCTAATGATTAATTGGATCAATGCGATACTCCTGTCTAGAAACCCATCTCCCAGGGCCCAACTCTTTTTTCCTTCCTTCCGTCCTTCCTTCCTTCCTTCCTTCCTTTCTTGCCTTTATATACCACCGTTATCTTCCAAGCATCTCAAGATATACATGGTTTTCCTCCTCCCCATTTCACCCTCCCAACAACCCTGTGAGACAGGTGACTGGCCCAAGGTCCCCCAGGGAGTGGGGATTTGAACCCTGCTTTCTCAGGTCCAGCACTCTTAAAAACACCCTCCATGCCACACTGGCTGTTTTCATTGGCCTTCCTCAGCTGGGTGCCCTCTGCCTGTTTCGGACGTCCGGTCCCTCGGCTGGCACAGGGTGGAGTAGCCCCGTCCTTGAATGTTGAGTCCGGGTGTTTTTCGGGCGTGCAAATATTGATCCATCCTTTCTCCTCCTCTGCCACAGGCTCCTTGGGTGACCTTTGTCCTTTCCCCTGCTTGCCAGAGCTGATGCTCAAGATGTCCTGCTCTCACGAGAAGACCACGCGAAGCCTCTTAGTCTGCCTGGCTCTCGTGACGCTGGGCGACACCCGGCTTTCCTTCCGGAGAAAAGGTAGGCACCCACCAATCGCTGGATGAGCATCCTTGACGGTTCCTATGTAGTCTGTGTGGTTTTTATCCTCTGGCATCAAAGCCGATGGCTGTGATGGGATCTTTGTCTAGCCTGAGCAAGGTTTCCCCAGCTTGGGTCCCCAGCTGTTTTTGGACTACAACTCCCATCATCCCTCGTTACCCAGTGGCCAGGGATGATGGGAGTTGTAGTCTCAAAACAGACAGACCCAAGCTTTGGGAAACACTGGGATTCCAGACTTTTTCAGATCCCATTCCGTAAACTCATCCTCCTAAACCTGCCTATAAAAAAGCGTTATTCCGAATAGCGGTTTGCATAACCCACTAAGGAAGCAGATAACACGGTAAAATTCAAAGCAGCAGCAATTAATTGCACATTGATTCAAGGGTTGCTGTACATCTGCGGTAGGTGAAGCTTTGTGCATTTCTGGTAGGCAGTTATACATAAATATGTTATGCTACGAATTTCCTTCACCCTTACGTTTTTGTCCGTAAAAAATGTGCAGATATATTTTTTTTCATGCAGTTTTCTCTGCTGTATGTTGTGTTTTTAGCTACAGTATTAGGGGTGGACATTCAAAAAGGCTAGAGCATTCAGGGAAATGATATATAATGAACTGAAAAAAATGTTTCAGATAACTTTTGTAAAAAAACAACAACCCAGAAGCCTTTTTAATAGACATTAAACGACAGCTGCAAGAATGCTTTTTGGCCAAAGATGGAAGGAAGAGGAAAAGTCAGCCAAGGAAGAGTGAAAATGATGGACTACGCAGAAATGGCAAAAATCACTGGGAAGATCAGACAGCAAGATGTTAGTAAATTTAAAGAAGAATGGTATAAGTTCACAGGGTACATTAAGGAACAATGTAAAGATTTAAAGACGTTAGCGATGCTTATTGTCGCTAGCCATTGGGCATGCTGGCTGCAGCGACTATCCTGTGCCCCTAAGCTGGTCTGCTGCCCTCTGGAAGATGCTGCCCCACCAAGATGGACAGGCCTGAAAGTCGGATGGCCGCCTGTCATGTATGCTTTAGCTGAGGTTCCTGCATTGCTGTGGGTTGGACTAGATGACCCTCGGGGTCCCTTCTGACTCTACAGTTCTGCAATTCTATGTGCAGAGGAGGGTGACTGAGATGATCAAGGAAACCGAGCCTGATGAGGAATGGTTGAGGGAGCAGGTCTGTTTCAGCCCGGAGAAGACTGAGAGGCGACCTGGGCATCCAATGAATGTTGGAAGATTTAGGGCAGATAAAGTACACTGTATTTTTCGCTCCATAAGACGCACCTAGCTTTTAGGGGAGGAAAACAAGGACAAAAAATGGATGTATGCTTTTTGTGGTTCATGCTGTGGCCACAGACATGTGATCTGATGGTGAATTTGGGGTAGCCCAATGCAAAAATCCTGAGGATCCATGTGGATCCGTGCTTTGTAACCACATTTTTGCACCGTTGCAGCCCCAGGAAACAGTGGGTGCGTGATTTTTTTGGTGCAGGCTGTAGCCATGGACATGCTATGTGATCTGATGGAGAATTTGGGGTGACCCAATGCAAAAATCCTGAGGATCCGTGGGCTTTTACCTCCCCCCTCCCAGGCAGCCTCCTTTATCGCTAGAGTCCCTTATCTCCCTCCTGATCCCACCGATCAGCTGTTTCCTTTCAACACTCCCATCCCTCTTGTTTGCCTTAGTGTAGTGTCTTTTCCTTAGCTGGAGCAGTTTTTCGCTCCTCCTTTTCTTCTAATTTCTCTCCTCATTGCTTTAGTCTTCCTGTTTCCACCCTTTGCAATTTTGCTGTCTTTACCTCCCCCTTCCAGGCAGCCTCCTTTATCTCTAGCGTCCCTTATCTCTCTCCCCGATCGGCAAATGATCAGCCGCTTTGTTTCAACACCCACTTCCCTCTTTCAGAAAAAAAAGAAAAAAAGAGCATGATCTGCTTTTCGCCCCTGGGCAATTGGGCTCCAGGGACCACACATTCGCTCCATAAGACACACAGACATTTCCCCTTACTTTTTAGGAAGAAAAAAGTGTGTCTTATGGAACAAAAAATACGGTACTTCTTCACATTGTTAAACTATGGAACTCTCACCTACAGCAGGATGATCACCAATCTAGCTTTTAAAAGGGGGTTAGGCCGTTTAGGGCTTTCAAGGTCAGCACCAACACTTTTAATTGTACTGGGAGCCAATGCAGATCTCTCAGGACTGGTGTTATGTGGTCTCAGGGGCCGCTCCCAGTCCCCAGTCTAGCTGCCGCATTCTGGATTAGTTGCAGTTTCCGGGTCACCTTCAAAGGCAGCCCCAAGGAGAGCACATTGCAGTAGTCCAAGCGGGAGATAACTAGATAACATTGTTGCAGATGGCTTCCCTGGGGAGACCCCTGGCCTCCTCTCTCCTCTTGGGAACGGGACTCAGGTGGAAACTGAGGTCTTTCCTTGTTGCACGACTTGGAGCGCAAAATCTCAAGCGGCCAGTCCAGAGCCGAGTCGCCAGTCAGAAGCCGTCAACTGAGGCCTTACGTCATCTGCATTCCCAGGACAACGTGGCCTTGCCTCATGCCAGCACATCAGCCGCCAGAAACGTTCGCAGAACGGGGTTGTTGCAAGTTTCTTGAAAAACAGGTGTGTTGCAAGCTGAATCTGGAGACTGCGTTGGTCACAGGAGTTGGATCGTAGACTTCCTGTGAGCAACAGCGCTGAGGCTGAAGTGCAAAACCGGGAAGAGGTTCGGCAAAGGCGGCACCTACTTTTTTTATCCTGAATTCGTGGATTCCCTGTTTTGCAATGTGTCTGTCTACGTGTTGCCACATCGAGCCATTACGCGGAATGAGGAAGAGCAGCAAGCTCTGACGATTCGTTGCGCTACGTAATTCTTTATGTTGTCACTCTGTGCTCCAGCTTCTGAGACCTGCTGGGCATTGCCCACTCTCTCTGCCAATTGTCTTTCTCTCCCCCTCCCCCCTGTTTTTTTTATTTCATTGTTAAAGGTAAAGGGACCCCTGACCATTAGGTCCAGTCGTGAACGACTCTGGGGTTGTGGCGCTCATCTCGCTTTACTGGCCGAGGGAGCCGGCGTACAGCTTCTGGGTCATGTGGCCACCATGACAAAGCCACTTCTGGCGAACCAGAGCAGCGCATGGAAATGCCATTTACCTTCCCGCCGGAGCGGTGCCTATTTATCTACTTGCACTTTGACGTGCTTTTGAACTGCTGGGTTGGCAGGAGCTGGGACAGAGCAACGGGAGCTCACCCCGTGGCGGGGATTCGAACCGCCGACCTTCTGATCGGCAAGTCCTAGGCTCTGTGGTTTAACCCACAGCGCCACCCACGTCCTCCCAGGTCATAGTCAATCCATCACTATAACCATTACACCATGCTGGGTCTCAATACGATACTGGAAACATTGCAGGGGTTGGACTTGTTTTATACACATTGTTAAATGTGTATAAAACAGGGAACAATTATAGGAGCAGAGGAAAACGGAAAGTTGAGAAACAAGACTATAGAATGAGACACGTAGAATGAGTAAAGCAGTTGCACATGGCATGGCTTAAAATAACACACACAAAACCCCCGTGTAAATAATATCATCATTATCTGATTATCAAGTCTACTTCCAGATTTGCCAGGTGTGTGACAAGGGAAGTTTTGAAAATGATGATTTCGTTGCATATGTAAGAAGGGGCTGCCAAGTCGTTTAAAAAGCGTCTGGAGGTTCTAGTCCCTGTTGAAATCTCAAATGATGGGTAATTTTCTCCAGTGTGGCTACATTCCAGAGTGAGTGGTTCCCAAGCATCTGGTGCAAGATTTTGGGCTGCTTTCCACCGAGTAGCAATTACTATCTCTTGAGCTGCCAAGATCATATATAACCCTCTGCCAATTGTGATCTTTGCAATGATGAGTGTTTGATATATTTTGGCTCAGTCGGCAGAGCGTGAGATGATTCATCTCAGGGTTGTGGGTTTGAACCTCACGTTGGATGAAATATTTCTGCTTTGCAGGGGGTTGGAATGGATCACCCTCGGTGTCCCTTCCAACTCTACAATTCCACAGTGGTTAATAATAATAATAATAATAATAATAATAGTAATAATAATTTATTTGTATCCCGCCCTCCCTGGCCAAGAGCGGCTAACATCATAAAAGCAACACAATATGCATAAAAACAGGCATCGATTAGTTAAAATACATCTTTAAATTAATTCAGATGAGTTAAAATCTGGGTAGGTGGCAATTAATCAGGTTGGAGTTGAGAGTGGTTAATACTTGCCAGGACCAACTGCTTCCACTGAGCATACAAGGACCTGTGAGCGAGTTGGGCACCTCCTTCGGGCTTGTTTTATACAAAGGGAAGTAAGTAAGTCAAACGGCATCCTGCCCAAAGGCCTGGTGGAACAGCTCCATCTTGCAGGCCCTGTGGAAAGATGTGAAATCCCACAGGGCCCTGGTCTCTTGTGGGAAAGCGTTCCACCAGGCCAGGGCACGGCCAAAAAGGTTAGAGTCTTGGACTTGGACCTGGGAGAGACCAGGGTTTGAATCTCTCCCCAGCCATGAAGTTCACCTTGGACTGCCTCTCAGCCTGAATTATAGGGTGATCTTTCCCAGTAGTGATGTATGGAAGTGAGAGCTGGACCATCAAGAAGGCTGATGGCCGAAGAATGGATGCTTTTGAATTCTGGCACAGGAGGAGACTCTTGAGAGTCCCATGGACTGCAAGAAGATCAAACCTCCCCATTCTGAAGGAAATCAGCCCTGAGTGCTCACTGGAAGGACAGATCCTGAAGCTGAGGCTCCAAGACTTTGGCCACCTCAGGAGAAGAGAAGACTCCCTGGAAAAGACCCTGATGTTGGGAAAGATGGAGGGCACAAGGAGAAGGGGACGACAGAGGACGAGATGGTTGGACAGTGTTCTCGAAGATACCAGCATGAGTCTGACCAAACTGTGGGAGGCAGCGGAAGACAGGAGAGCCTGGCGTGCTCTGGTCCAGGGGGTCACGAAGAGGCGGACACGACTAAACAACAACAATGATCTTCCCAGTAGCCTGGACCTAATCTATATGGGGCAGTGGCTCCCAAAGTGGGGTGGGGGGCAGTAGGATTACTTAGGGGGACACTGAGAGGTAAGGGGGCAGCGGGGTGGGGGTGGGGTACACAACTTCCAGGCTTTGAAAAGCTGCTATCATTTGATCAAGTTCATCTCATTTGTTGAATTTGTTAAAGTCGTTTTAATTGACTTTTTGCATAACATGCGCAGCCAATTGGTACTGTTTTGAATTTTATTGTGTGATTATATTCCTTAGCGAGTCTGAATAATGCTTTTTGTAGATTTAGGGTGAGGGGTGATAGGGATGAGTTTATGGAACCAAGGTGGGGGCAGTGGCCCCCAAAAGTTTGGGGACTGCTGTACGAGGGCTTTATAGGTCATAACCAGCACTTTGAAATTGTCACAGAAGTTGCAGAATCATAGTGTTGAAAGGGGACCCCAAGGGTCATCTAGCCCAACCCCCAGCGTAGGACTTGTTCGATAGATTTATTGCTTTATTGTTTGGCGCCCAGCCACGCTTCCCCTGCGGGCCTCTGCAGCTTCTGTTTACGCAGTGTGGCTTTGGAGCGGTCGTAAAGCAATTAGCAGAATTACACAGCGTCTGTGTCGAAAGGGCAGTAAATAAGTCCAGACGTTTCTTCGACCAGACTTGACAGGACTCGAACCCACAACTGAGATTAAGAGCCTCATGCTCTACCGGCTGAGTTATCCCACCTTGTCTGGGTGATTCTCTCGGCTTCTTAGATGCCTTAAGCAAGCTATTTTTAATATCCTTTTAGGGCCTGTTGCAAGGTGTTTGTTTCTGATGGCTCAGGAACTGGGCCGCCGCAACACACTCAGGGATTTTGGGGGTGTTGGGCTTTCGAAAAAGCCAGGCTTTGGGTTTGCCCCTTTCCTTTGCACTTCTTTACATCCCTCCCCTCTGCTTTTCCCTCTGACCCCAGGGTGTAGACCACCAGAGCCGCCCGCTCACAGTGCCTATCGATGCCAGCCCCCCCTGTGCCAGGAGCCTCTTCTGGACTCGGACCTGTTCGGACCTGAATCGGTGCTGGAATTCTACTGCCTACCTGGATACGTCACGACCAGCCTGCCAGCCCTTGCCATCTGCCGAGGAGGGCAGTGGAATATGTTGAGAGACCTCGCTTGCATGCCCCCAGGAAGTAAGTGCTGTGACCTCTCTCTCTCTCTCTCTCTCTCTCTCTGCCCCCCTACCCAGAATAAAAATTCAAAGGGGAGAATAATTTGTGTATCCGGTTTGCCAAATCAGAGGTGACCCAACTGCGTGAACAGCCCCTTGAGGCTTCGACTGACTTCCCCGCGAAGGAAGATTGGGGCATCTTGTCCTTTTATATATAAAAAAAGTTTAGTCCAGAGTTTGCCGAACCTTGGGCCTCCAGCTGTTTTTGGACTACCGTTCCCATCATCCTTGATCACTGGTTCTGTTAGCTAGGAATGATGGGAGTTGTAGTCCAAAAAGAACAGCTGGAGACCCAAGGCTTAGGGAACCCTGGTTTATAATAATAATTTATTATTTATACCCTGCCCATCTGGCTGGGCTTCCCCAGCCACTCTGGGTGGCTTCCAAAAAAATATTAAATTGCAGCAAATGCACCAAACATTAAAAGCTTCCCTAAACAGGGCTGCCTTCAGATGTCTTCTAGAAGACATGTAGTAGTTGTTCTCTTTGACATCTGGTGTGAGGGCGTTCCACCGAGAAGGCCCTCTGCCTGGTTCCCTGTAACTTCGCTTCTTGCAGGGAGGGAACCGCCAGAAGGCCCTCGGCGCTGGATCTCAGTGTCCGGGCTGGACGATGGGGGTGGAGACGCTCCTTCAGGTATACAGGACCGAGGCCATTTAGGGCTTTCAAGGTCAGCACCAACACTTTGAATTGTGCTTGGAAACGTACTGGGAGCCAATGTAGGTCTTTCAAGACCAGTTTTATGTGGTCTCGGCGGCCGCTCCCAGTCACCAGTCTGGCTGCCGCATTCTGGATTAATTGCAGTTTCCGGGTCACCTTCAAAGGGAGCCCCACGTAGAGCACATTGCAGTAGTCCAAGCGGGAGATAACCAGAGCATGCACCACTCTGGCGAGACAGTCCACGGGCAGGGAGGGTCTCATCCTGCGTACCAGATGGAGCTGCCCTGGACACAGAATTGACCTGCACCTCCATGGACAGCTGTGAGTCTAAAATGATTCCCAGACTGCGCTCCTGGTCCTTCAGGGGCACAGTTATCCCATTCAGGACCAGGGAGGCCTCCACACCCGCCCACCCCCTGTCTCCCAAAAACAGTACTTCTGTCTTGTCAGGATTCATAGAATCATAGAATCCTAGAGTTGGAATAGACCACAAGGGCCATTGAGTCCAACCCCCTGCCAAGCAGGAAACACCATCAGAGCACTCCTGACATATGGTTGTCAAGCCTCTGCTTAAAGACCTCCAAAGAAGGAGACTCCACCACACTCCTTGGCAGCAAATTCCACTGTCAAACAGCTCTTACTGTCAGGAAGTTCTTCCTAATGTTTAGGTGGAATCTTCTTTCTTGTAGTTTGGATCCATTGCTCCGTGTCCGCTTCTCTGGAGCAGCAGAAAACAACCTTTCTCCCTCCTCTATATGACATCCTTTTATATATTCGAACATGGCTATCATATCACCCCTTAATCTCAATTCAATCTCAATCTGTTAGCCGCCATCCATCCTCCAGAGAAAAGGTGAGGAAGAGGGGACCGTTTATAAAATGATGCATGGCGTTCGAGAAAGATGGGAGGAGACAACCTTTCTCCCTGTCATGTAACATTAGAACTTGTAGGCACCCAGTGAAGTTGATCGTTGGAAAATCTGGGGCAGACAAAATCAAGTCTTTCTTCGTCCAACACCTGGTTAAACTGTGGAACTCACTGCTGCAGGATTTGTGGAGGAGGCGAGGGCTATCGATGGCTCCTAGCCAAGATGGCTGTTCTTATGCATCCCAGTTGCTGGAAACTCCAGGAAGGAAAAGGGCTCTTGTGCTGGACTCTTGCTCATGTTTCCCACTGGGACATCTATTTTTTAAAAAAATGCTTTTTATTGGTGTTTCATTTAATACAAACAAACAAAATACAGTAAATCCAACAATCATTTATCCGCATTCTTTCCCCACACTCTGCTGAGCACTGACTTCCTTCCCTCCCTTCAACGGGTTTTCTTCTATCAGTTACTTTTCCACAGTTTCTTATCGTATCCAATCCTATCTACATCGTAAGATTTATTTCAGTCCTGCCAGAGTCTTCAAATTTCTACAGTTATTATTTCCATAAATTTACTCCAATCTTTTTGGAATTTTGCTTCCTCCTGATTTCGGATGCTACAGGTCAGTTTTGCTAGTTCCGCATAATCAACCATCTTCGTCTGCCATTCCTCTATTGTTGGTAATTCTGGTACTTTCCAATTTTGGGCTCTCAAAGTTCTGGCAGCAGTCGTAGCATACAGAAATAAACTTTGATCTGCTTTTTCTATTTCCTTTCCCATCAGACCTAGCAAGAAAGCTTCCGGCTTTTTTTGGGAAGTGTATTTAAATATCTTTTTCAATTTGTTATAAATCTGTTCCCAAAATGGTTTCATTTTCGCACATGTCCACCCCATTGGCCACTCCTTGGCCACTGCGAGAATGGGATGCTGGACTTGGTGGGCCGCTGGCCTGACCCAGCAGGCTGTTCTCATCATAACTGTCAACTTACAGATCTGAAAATAAGGGACCAGCAGCCTCGAAAATAAGGGATCAGCAGCCAAAATAAGGGAGTTTCAGAGCACAGGTATGTTCAACTTCTGAGCCCCTCGAGCCAAAGGCAGAAAGCCCAGCCAGCAGCCAAACGAAGCCTCAAGCGGTGGTTCCCACAGCGCAGCAACCCGGCAAAGGGGACGCAGCAAGGAAAACCACCGTCACCTCTCCGCTGGGAAGCGCTGAGCAAAGGCGGGTCCCCAGGCAACGCGGCCGATTTGATTGGCACAAGGCATGCAAGGTCCACCCCCCAGTCGTTCTTAGACTCCTTATTGGGTGAGCAACGCAGCCAAGCAACACAGTTGGAGCCTCCCTCCTCCCTGGCCGGCAGGGAGGGAGGGAGAGGAGCTGCTTCCTTTGAAACCCGGGAAATTTAAGGGACATCATCAATAAGGGACAGCAGTGGGACACGGCGCTGGGATAAGGGACTGTCCCACCAAATAAGGGACGGTTGACAGCTATGGTTCTCATGCAATATTTTAAGTGGTATGCGATCCATGGTACCGTACGCACTCCTAGCGTTGCACCCCACACCCTCCAATGTTGCAAGGGGGGCTCTCCCTGTGTTCCACTGTTAATGTGTCGTGGCCCAGTCCTGAGTGCCATTCATGCAGGATGCAAAATTCGGATTCCCTGGGCTCAGAATTCAAGCCTCTCCACCAGTTTGGTTGCCACCTTGTGGATAGAACCACAACAACAGTTCAGTTTTAGCTTCCAAGGAGAGGAAGAATCTGACTTTGCAGTTGATTGTTGGTGAAATATACTCAGAGTCAAGAGTGGATTTCATGCTCTTTATTCAGCTCATAGTGGTGAGGAGGAATGGAAGTTCCCCCAGAATGTCTGCTTTATATACATTATTAACACAATGGGCCCCACGTGATTGGCTAATTCCGGGATTCACCTGTAGGCCAATCAGGTTGTGGATTCACTTCCACCTGGAGCCGGAGTGGGTGGCTCCTACGGATCAATCATACTGCTGCATTGTTCTAGGACCAATCAGACTGCTGCATTTTGGATCCCATTGTTCTAGGACCAATCAGACTGCTGCATTTTGGATCCTATTCAACTCCGTACATAACAGTTGGGCTCAGGGATGATGAGGCAACTTGCAGTCCAGCGAAATTTGCAGGGCACCAGTCTGGCTTTTCCTACAGCCACCGGAAAGGAGTGTTCAAATTTCAATCCCAGGGATATGAATTCAGACTCACTCTGATTCGCATTTATTTTGTTCCAATTTATTTGAGAGGCTTGTCTGCTACGCAAAGTTGCTTAGGGTTGAGTTGGGGGCCTTAGCGAGCCAACTTTCAAGTACGCAAGCTTTTGAGTCCAACAGAGATCTTGGCCTATTGACAGCGGTGGGTGACGGTTATGCTCCTATAGCGATGGTTGCTGTTTATTGTTGCTGCTGACCTTGTGTGTTATCATCCTGCCAGGGCACTCAGGGTGGTCTCAGACAGGGGTCAGCAAACTTTTTCAACAGGGGGCCAGTCCACTGTCCCTCAGACCTTGGGGGTGGGGCGGACTATATTTTGAAAAGAAAAAAAAGAATGAATTCCTATGCCCCACAAATAACCCAGAGATGCATTTTAAATAAACGCACACATTCTACTCATGTAAAACATAGCTGTCAACTTTCAGATTTGAAAATAAGGGATCAGCAGCCTCTCCTGTCCAGGGGACAGTCTACAGCACGGGTGTCAAACACAAGGTTTAGGGTAGGTAGCAAAGGGGGGGGGGAAATCCAAACAAATGCTCGATTAAAATTTGGGGAATGAGAACAATTAAAACCTGCACATCTTGTGTAACTTAAACACCAAGCCAAACAGGAAACAATTTTTATATTCATATATGTATTCAAATGAAATCAAGGTGTAGTGTTCCATGAGCCGGAAGCTCTGCATTACTTAATCCAGCTGTTAAAGGTGTTATGGACTTTGAAGACACTCGAACTCGAACCGGCCCTTTGAGGGTGACCAAACTGCTGATGCGGCCCCCCGATGAATTTGAGTTTGACACCCCTGGTCTACAGGATATCTAACAATCCGGGATAGCAGTGGGAAGCAGCAGGAACAGCGCTGGAATAAGGGAATTTCCCGCAAAAAAAGGGAAGGTTGACAGCTATGATGTAAAAACACCAGGCAGGCCCCACAAATAACCCAGAGATGCATTTTAAATAAAAGGACACATTCTACTCATGTAAAAGCATGCTGATTCCCGGACTGTCTGCGGGCTGGATTTAGAAGGCGATTGGGCTGGATCCGACCCCTGGGTCTTAGTTTACCTACTCATGGTCTAAGATTGAAGATATTCCAGCAGTGAAATGAATCTCAGTGTTCAGGGGGCAGAATGCTTGCAGTCTTCTCAAACACACCACCCCTGTTTGGATGGGCAGCTGGCCTGGATGGGCCAGTTTGGGTCATTCCTGCCACCACAGACATTTTTGACACCTTTTGCCCTAACCTTGACCGACAAAGAAGCAGCTTGCCTTATTCTTCCATCTGTGTAGGTCTGCCCTCCCTGTTTAGCTTTGGGCACTGATCCCCGCAGTCCTAAACCAACGATTCCCCACCTTCCTAAGGGTCTCCATTAAATCTCTCTTGCCTCCTCACCCAACCCTTGCAGCTCCGCGTCCCGACGCCTTCCTCTCCGCGGCTTCCGTCCCCATGGTGCTGGCTGCCGCCGTGATCTTTTCCGCCATTCTGGTGACGGTTGTGGCTTGCGTCCTCCTGAAGACGAGACTCCACTTCTGCCGCTGCCTCAGGTGAGCCTGGGCAAACTCCAAGAGTGGATCCTGTTTGTAGTCTGTTACCTTCCACTGTTGAAGTGTATTTATTATACTGTATGTTTACTGTATTGGACGCGGGTGGCGCTGTGGGTTAAACCACAGAGCCTAGGGCTTGCCGATCAGAAGGTCGGCGGTTCGAATCCCCTCGACGGGGTGAGCTCCCGTTGCTCGGTCCCTGCTCCTGCCAACCTAGCAGTTCGAAAGCACGTCAAAGTGCAAGTAGATAAATAGGTACCACTCCGCCGGGAAGGTAAACGTCGTTTCTGTGTGCTGCTCTGGTTCGCCAGAAGCGGCTTAGTCATGCTGGCCACATGACCCAGAAGCTGTACGCCCGCTCCCTCAGCCAGTAAAGCGAGATGAGCGCCACAACCCCAGAGTCGGCCACGACTGGACCTAATGGTCAGGGGTCCCTTTACCTTTATGTTTACTGTATTATGTGTTATAAGAAAAACAGCAACTGTTCCCTTTCTCTTATGGGGTATCCAAGGCCCGTATAGAGTCCTGAAGTGGGTTCCCTATCCGTAGGAGAAAATAGCAGAGGCCAACCAGAGAATATTGAGAAGCAAAGCAAGCTAGTAAGCCTGATTTTTATTAAACTGTTGCAACAGGGTCCCCACTCCCCACATGCAGGAGGAGAGAACCCAGAACAATGGTGTGCAAGCCCTTATATAGATTCTTGAAATTGCCCACCCTGTAGCCCAAGACCACCGCCCAAAACATCATACATACATCACAGAAGGGGGTGGTCTACAGCAGAAATCCTGTCTCCCAGGATACTGACAGTGGTCACTGATTGCTTTACCTGGGCAGCCTGGCCATTCTTTTGTGATGGTTAGTAGTTTAGTTCCTGAATGCAGGTCACAGGCTCACCCTATTCATACACAAATACGCCCTTAAGGCAGGATTTGCAAGCGAAAAGACAATGGGAAGACTTACCCCATTTGCCTCCCTCCTTGCAAAGGAATATTTGAGGTCATAGGGAGAGTCAAAATGGCTTTAGGACTGCTCTCCCCTATGATTTCAGACACATGGCTCATATATTTAGATATGTGTGCATTTATGAATACAGTGGTACCTCAGGTTACATACACTTCAGGTTACATACGCTTCAGGTTACGTACACTTCAGGTTACAAACTCCACTAACCCAGAAATAGTACCTCGGGTTAAGATCTTTGCTTCAGGATGAGAACAGAAATTGCGCAGCAGCAGCAGGAGGCCCCTCTAGCTAAAGTGGTGCTTCAGGTTAAGAACAGTTTCAGGTTAAGAACGGGCCTCCGGAACAAATTAAGTTCTTAACCTGAGGTACCACTGTAGTGTTCTGTATTTGACACCTTAAAAATCTTATAACATACTCTAGACTTTTTTCCCCTAAAATGAATAGCTGTATAGAGATATTTTTTTAAAAACGAATAGATTGGTCCTCCTTACACACCCTTCCTCCCTTTTGCAAGCTGCGGGGGGGGGGGTCACACTTTGTTCAGGCTTGTACAGAACTTTGGTTTCAAAGACCCTCTGTTTCTCCCCCCCCCCCCAGTTCCTACGAGCCCCTGGACGACCCGTTGGAGCAAGTGGAAGAGCTAGACGTGCCCGGACTGGACTGCAGCGGAGGCCCCCTCCCCTCGTACGAAGAGGCCGTCTACGGTCACACGGGGTGCCCCTCGCCGCCGGGGGTGCAGGGCCCGACCCCTCTGGTCCTTTCCCAGGAAGCCCGGGCCCCCCCAGATCTCTGCGGCCTCGGAGAGGAGCCCCCTTCCTACGAGGACTCCTTGGTGGCAGCTTCTACCGAATCGGGACCTGCCCCAGGAAGAGAGTCACCCTCCCAGCTCCCCACATCGCTCTTGCCCCCGGGTGTTGGAAAGAAGGACGGTCCTTAGCCAAGCTTGCAGCGCTTTTGTTGATCCGCCTTGGAGCCACGATTTGAGGGACTGACTTAATACCCCGGCCAATGGTCCTGCAGCAGTGGAGCCATATTGCAGATTCAATGGGCTGGTTGGTTTTCCGTGTCGGGACACAAATATGAATTCCGTCCTAAGAAGTTTGGTTGTTGTTTTTCTTAATTTACGTTTTTATTTTATTTTAAAGCCTTTTTCTTAATTCATTTTATTTCCCAAAGCAAAACGTGAGTGTTTGGAGATGGGGGAAACTCATCGTTCCTTCTCTCCAAAGGCTTCCTTGCCTGCTGAGCTCAGAATTCACGCAGCTTGGAGGCTGCACTGAGTGCCTCCAGGGGACCAGTTTGGACCTGCCCCTGACCGGTCCCTTGCCCCAGTAACGGATGGAAGTCTTGGCCCAAATGGACCGGGGGAACTGTTCATATATTGACTCCCTCCGCTGAATTTGGTTCTGCAAGAGCAGACTTGTGACTTTGCTGAAGAGGCCAACCCGAAAGCAGTATTGACATTTGCAAGAACTCTGGGTTAATCGCCCCATGTTGTCTGAGTGTACCAATATACTTTTGAATGCTGTTTCTCGTGTTCAGAAATTTATTTTTTAAAAAACAATTAAAACTTTGTTCATTCTACACTTGTGGACTATTTTTTACATCTGCCTAGAGCAGTGTTTCCCAACCTTTTTTGGGCAAAGGCACACTTGTTTCATGAAAAAAATCTCGAGGCACACCACCATTAGAAAATGTTTAAAAAAATTAACTCTGTGCCTATATTGACTATATATAAAGTATATATAAACCATATATATGCTTTCGTAGATTTTCACGGGTACAGGAATGCAGGTTTTGGTGTCCTCGGGTGTCTTCCCGTGTAAAAGTTGGGGTGTCTAGGCGACGTTTCGACGAGGTCGAAAGAAGATGACGAGTGAGACCTCGTCGAAACGTCGCCTAGACACCCCAACTTTTACACGGGAAGACACCCGAGGACACCAAAACCTGCAAACCATATATATATATATATATATATATATATATATATATATATATGCAGGTTTTGGTGTCCTCGGGTGTCTTCCCGTGTAAAAGTTGGGGTGTCTAGGCGACGTTTCGACGAGGTCTCACTCGTCATCTTCAGGCTGGTGCTTTCGGCTTCTTGTTACTGGAACAGAGCAGGATCTCAGTGTTTGAGTTCCTATAAATACTGTTGAGGGGGTGTGGTGTATAGCCTCCAATGTTCTGGGCAGAGAGGAAGTTCCCAGGCTAGTGTGCCTTTTCTTCTTTTGTTCCTTAATTACTTGAGGGGTATCTTGAGTGATTTCTTGAGTGATATTCTGAGTACCACTTAGGTGGGTCATTAGGTGTGGATTAGTTGCTCAAGCCTTCGTGTCTTGACCTCTTGAACTTTGTGAAAAGTTTTTCTGAGAAGATGGCTGTACTGCACTTAGTTGTGCTCTGGCTTGGCTTCGGGTATAGGGGCGAGCTGTGGTTTTGTGCCCTGTGCCAGCCAGATCTGTGTAGGGATTGCAGGGGGGTGCAGCATCCGGAGGTGCCACCATGGTTTGGCTACTGGATGGTGTCTGTAATTTATCTGTGGAGAGGGTCTGGGTTTGGGTCTGGTGTGGTTGATTGGTGATGGCGTTCTGTGTGCCTCTGGATCTGGTGTCGGTTTTTGTGGGGAGGGCTAATTTCCAGATGTCTGGCAGGAAAAAACCACCAAATCCAAAATAAAAGCCTCTCCTATCAGTGAAGAAATCCAGCTAAGAATCATCCCCAGAGAAAAATCATCCAGATGCCCCAAACTCTACGGCCTCCCCAAGATACACAAAGAAGGAACACCACTCAGACCAATAGTCAGCTCCATAGGCTCACCTCTACAAAATCTCGCTAAATTTCTCGCTAAGCAACTTCAGCCCTATGCAGAATCCATCTCTTCACACGTTACAAACTCCTTCCAGTTCATAGAAACAATAAAGAAGCAAAACCTACATCCCGATGACCTACTTGTGAGCTTCGATGTTGTATCTCTCTTCACACAAGTGCCCATTAATGAAGCCTTGACAGCCATTCAAAACAAATACAATCCCCCCGAATACATCCTGGACCTGACCAACCACTGCCTAACCAACACGTACTTCATCCACAATGGACAAAGATACAAACAGATAGAAGGAGCACCTATGGGATCACCCCTCTCACCGGTCATCGCAAATCTGTACATGGAACACTTTGAAACCAATGCTTTAGACAAGTCAGAACACAAACCCAAACTTTGGCTCAGATATGTTGACGACACCTTCGTAATTTGGCCACACGGGAAGGAAAAACTAGATAGCTTCCTCACACATCTCAACAGCCTACACCCCAAAATACAATTCACTATGGAAATAGAAGCCAACAACCAACTTCCCTTCCTTGACGTCCTAATCTACAAAAAACCTGATGGCTCCCTAGGACACACTATCTACCGGAAAAAAACACACACCAACCGCTACTTACATGCACAATCACACCACCACCCTGCACAAATAAACTCCGTAGCCAAGACTCTCATCTCCAGAACCAAACGCCTGGCTGACAAAGACCACTTGACAACTGAGTTACAGAATCTCTCAAATGTGTTAATCGCCAATGGATACCAGCAAAACAGGGTTACGAAGCTAATCCAAAAAGAAACACCCCCCAAAAACCAAGACACAGAAGAAAACAATGGCATGGCCCTCCTTCCTTATATCAAGGGCACTACAGATAAAATTAGCAAAATCCTCCATAAACACAATATCAAAACAGCCTTTTGCACCAACCAAAAAATAGCCAATATCCTCAGAAACCCCAAAGATAAAATCCAGTTGGAAAACCAAGGGGTCTATGAAATACCCTGCAAAGCCTGCCCAGCCACGTACATTGGACAAACAAACAGACGAATAAATGCACGTATCGCAGAACACAAGAATGCCGTCAAAAAAGAAGAAAAAACTTCCTCTCTCTTCCAACACATGAAAGAAACAGGACACGAAATTAATTTTGCAGATTCCAAATTGCTCTTTAACATGGAACATCACCACAAGAGAATAATCATGGAAGCCATCGAGATAGAGAAACACCCTCACAACATGAACAAGCGTGACGACACGTCCCGCCTGCCAGACATCTGGAAATTAGCCCTCCCCACAAAAACCGACACCAGATCCAGAGGCACACAGAACGCCATCACCAATCAACCACACCAGACCCAAACCCAGACCCTCTCCACAGATAAATTACAGACACCATCCAGTAGCCAAACCATGGTGGCACCTCCGGATGCTGCACCCCCCTGCAATCCCTACACAGATCTGGCTGGCACAGGGCACAAAACCACAGCTCGCCCCTATACCCGAAGCCAAGCCAGAGCACAACTAAGTGCAGTACAGCCATCTTCTCAGAAAAACTTTTCACAAAGTTCAAGAGGTCAAGACACGAAGGCTTGAGCAACTAATCCACACCTAATGACCCACCTAAGTGGTACTCAGAATATCACTCAAGAAATCACTCAAGATACCCCTCAAGTAATTAAGGAACAAAAGAAGAAAAGGCACACTAGCCTGGGAACTTCCTCTCTGCCCAGAACATTGGAGGCTATACACCACACCCCCTCAACAGTATTTATAGGAACTCAAACACTGAGATCCTGCTCTGTTCCAGTAACAAGAAGCCGAAAGCACCAGCCTGAAGATGACGAGTGAGACCTCGTCGAAACGTCGCCTAGACACCCCAACTTTTACACGGGAAGACACCCGAGGACACCAAAACCTGCATATATATATATAGTATATATAAAGTCTATATATAAAGTATATATAAAGACTACGGATTTGTGTCACTGCCCATTTCCATGAAAGATTTATTCATGCATTTTGCACAATGCCACAATCCCACATGCAACTTTTAAAAAGGATGGGAAACACTGGGCTATGCAGCTGAGGGTGCACCGCTTATTGCCAGCAGTGCAAAATAGCTCTGCTTTGCTAATACCTGTTTAGCTGAGTAGGAAGGAGTTACAGTCCAGCAGCGTAGTCCTGTGTTATCCTAGTGCATTGGCCTTTTCAGGAAATTGGAGTCAGCGGGCACAGTTGTGAAAGCAGGGGACAGATTGGAGGTTTCAGCCTTGGGTATCTGGATGCCTGGTCCTACCCAAAGATGGAAAGCAAGGGCAGAGGAGCAGACCTGGTTGCTGTCTGACTGTATGCTTAGAGCAGGGCTGGAGAAGGGGCGTGGGGCGGGGCTGACGTTGTCGGTCATCTGGAGGCCTGCCCCGGAGAGACGGAGGCACGCACTCCCCTGGACCACCTTGACGCGCATGTCGTAACCCGGGTCACCTCAGTCGTGCGAATGCGCACCCAGCCAGGCCTCCCCCGCCGCGCTTCCCATTGCTGGGATTTGCCCGGCTTTCAGTCTCAAGGGAGGGAGGGAGGCTGCTCAAGACGTGAGTCGGAGGGGCGGCCTTCCGGCGGCTACGAGGGAGGATTTCGCCCCGCCGCCTCCACGACCAGGCCTTCGCTTCACCCAGGCGCCCCATCCCTCCACCTTTTGCACGCGCCTCCTTCCCGCACGCTTATGCACCCGTTCTTACGTGCAAAAGGCGGCGGGCAACTGCAGCTCCTCCTCCTCTAGAGACGAGGCGGGCGCTTGCTGCTGCTGCTGCCACTCGCTGGAAGCTCGCGATGGCTCTCCGTCAGCGAAGGCTTAATGGTTCCTCCCCTCCTCCTCCCCCCCCCCCGCTTCCAGGACGAATGGTACAGCCGGAGAAAGAGCGACACTCGAACTCCCGTGAGGAGGAGGAGCCTCCGACTCCCCTTAACACCTTCCGCGCCAGCTGCGGCTCTCCCTCTCTTACAACAGCCCTTCGCATTTCAAGCGGTATCTCCTACCACTTTAAAGAGCGGCGACTTACCCCCCCCAAGGAATCCTGGGAACTGTATTTTGTTAAGGGTGCTGAGAACCGTTAGACTCCCACGGCACACCAGGCAACAACTTGCGGCACACTAGTGTGCCGCGGAACACCGGTTGGGAAACACTGGCCTAGAGTGTGTGGACTTCTTGGGGGGGGGGAAATCTGCAAAGCATTAAAGTCGGGACCGGGATGGGTTTCGGGGGTGTAGAAAGTCCCTCCCTAATGTACTAATTACAAATTGTTTCTGAACGGCCGGTTATCTAGATGTTGACCCCATGTGCAGCAGCCAAGGAAAAGGCAAATTCCATGCAAGGGATCATTAGGAAAGGAAGTGAAAATAAAACTGCTGGTGTCAGAATGCCATTGTACAAATCTAGGGCGCAGCCTCATTTGGAATACTGTGTACAGTTCTGGTCGCCTCAACTCAAAAGGGATATCGCAGAGTTGGAAATGTTTTTGGGAAAAGGCAGCCAAAACAAGGGGCTGGAGCGACTCCTGTGAAGAAAATTTTGCAGTGTTGGGGGCTTTCTAGTTTAGAGAAAAGGCGAGGAAGAGGCGATGTTTATAAAATTCTGTATTGCAAGGAGAAAGCGGAGAGAAGCTTTTCCCCCTCTCTCATAACACACACAAATGAAAAGT